TTAAGAAGTCTATGATGGCTGAATTTGACATGTCTGATCTTGGTTTGATGCATTATTATCTTGGCATAGAAGTTGATCAATCTGCTGCTGGTATCTTTATTTCTCAGAAAAAGTATGTTCAAGACATTTTGGACAGGTTTAGAATAAAGGACTCCAATCCTGTCAGCACACCAATTGATGCAGGAATGAAGCTTGTTAAAAATCCTAAAGGGAAAAAAGTCAACAGCACTTTGTACAAGCAAATAGTGGGAAGTTTGATGTATTTAAATGCTACAAGGCCAGATATCATGCATGCTGTGAGCCTTATCAGCAGATACATGGAAAGTCCAAAAGAAATGCATCTCTTGGCAGCAAAAAGAATTCTCAGGTACTTGAAAGGTACGGTTGAGTATGGTCTATTTTATAAGAAAAGAGAAAAGTCAGACATGTTTGGCTTTACAGATAGTGATTTTGCAAGGGATGTTGATGATAGAAAAAGCACATCTGGTTATGTTTTTATGATGGGTACAACAGCTGTTTCATGGTCATCAAGAAAGCAACCGATTGTGACTTTATCAACAACTGAAGCTGAATTTGTAGCAGCAACTTCATGTGCTTGCCAAGCAATATGGTTGCTGAGAATTCTTGAAGAATGTCATTTCAAGCAAGAGGAACCTCTTATTATTTTCTGTGACAATAACTCAACAATTAAGTTGTCCAAGAATCTAATTCTTCATGGAAGATGCAAGCATATAGATGTGAGGAATTATTTCTTGAGGGACCTTGTGAAAGAAGGAGTCATTGATCTTGTCTATTGCAGAAGTGAAGACCAGCTTGCTGATATTTTTACCAAACCTCTCAAGTTGTCAGCATTTCAGAAACAAAGGAAGTTGCTTGGTGTTTGTGTGTTAGAGAATTTATTAAACTGAACTTTGATACAAAGTTTAGTTTAAGGGAGGGTTTGTTGAATAAGTCTTCCATTATCTGTTTTTATTGCCCTATTCTTTAGGAATTTGTTGGGTACGTGCAGTTGAGTTTCTTATTTTTAGTAGTGCATATCTTATTTGTAGTTTAGTGGCTTTAGTGGCTTAGTGGTGCTATTTTATTGTTAATTTCAGTTGCACAGTTCTGATTATTTGTATGTGTCTTTTATCTGTTGAATGTGATAATTCAAAAGTATTTTTTTCCTCTTCCAAATTGGCTTGAGTTTACTGTCTTTCAACTTCTTTCACTTGCTAAAATTGTTTATGCCCAGCAAGTGTTTGATTTAATTCCTCAAAGAACATTCAGCTTAAAGTTTTTGTTCAACTCTGTTTTTCTCTACAGGTGCACTGTCTTTTATATATAAAAATTAAGACTTTAGAGCTTTCTTGGCCTCTCTGTCTCTATTTTTTCCACCATTCTAATCCTATTCTGATAACCTCAGCACACAAATGACGCTCAGATGCAATTAGGTAATTACAATTCATCAGGTATCTAGTATGTTAACATATTTCTTGGTCTTATATATATCGCGCAGGTGGATGATGCATTGATGATTTCTGTTATCTAAACCAATGGTTTTTGACTCAAGACTTATTCCTCATACATTTAACTCTCTGTACATTTATTGGCATAGGCATAAACATGATTGTATGGCTCACATTTAAAAAATTTAATTGTGGAACTGTGAATCATGCATTACTTATATTCTACTTGCTGCTTACCTTAGGGTCTTTGGCAAATATTGAGATGCTAGCAGAGGAGGGAAACTTTAGAACTTTCTTTGGCCTTTTTAAGTTTTTGCTAATTGTTACAGTTCTTTGTCCTTTTAAAGTTTTTGCTAGTTGTTACAGTTTTGCCGTTCATTTTCAATCCTTGCAGTTCTACCTCTAATTTGCTCCTGAAGATGTCTACAATGGACGTGAAATGATTTCCCAGATTTCTGAGGGTGACTCCTTATTTGGTTACATTTAAATACTCTTGGTCAGTGACTTGCTAATAGTGCTTAAAGGCT